AAGTCCTGATTCAGCCAGTACATTGACAATTGCAAAGGCAAGAGCGGTGCCAGAGAATATTTTGTTTGCCAAGTTTCCCTTTGCATATGTAATTTATTCTCTGTTCTTGCTGTTAAAAGTTAACTTTGAATCTATTTGCTGTCTGTGGCCAGAGCTTTTCTGATTCATGTATATTGCCTTGGTGATGTGAAGTCAAATTCATCATAGCAAAACCCCTATACTATTAATATCTGGCTCTTATACAGCACTTTTCATTAGTAAATCCCAAAGCACTTTACACTGGAGGTCAGTGTCATTATCCCCATGTTACAGATGCGGAAACAGATGCAGAGAGAAGTAAAGTGACTTGCTCAAGGTCACACAGAAGCAAAACCAGGAATAGAACCCAGCTCTCCAGAGTTCACAATCCAATGCACTATTCACTAGGCCACATACTTCTTCCCCATTGTAGCAAATCCTAAAAGAAGCTACAATAGACTTTCATTGGCGTTCGTCTGCACTTTAGCTTTCATGCATCCAGATGCATTCTGGGAATGAGGCAAATTAATGGGCTCTATATTAGTGGAAATATAGGCTCAATAAATTAATTCAGTATTTTTTTCTCTTGTTTGTGCACACTTTGTGTGATTTAAACAAATCATGTGGGCAGTGATAATCAGGTCTCATAAGTTAAATATGGTTGAGAGCATCTAGGGTGCTAAAGGAACTTGTCTTGGTGACTTGATGGGAAGTATTTCACCTACTGAGTTAGTAATGAACCAGTGGTGTAGCGTGTTGTGAGACTGTGCTGTTATTAATACCCTGGCACAGTTCTTTAGCTGGTGTAAATATAAGTTACACCGGCTCAGGATCTGACCCCATGTATTAGATGAAAGATGATATTCAAAGCCAGAAGGGACAATTTTATTGTGTCGTCTGACCTCCTGTATAACACAGGCCAGTCACCCGGTTACTGCTGTATTGAACCCAATAACTCATGTTTGGATGCCTTTCTGGCAGACATGCTTTCGTCAATTTTTATATGGATGTATGACCTAGAGATTTTTTGCCATTAACAATTCCAAGGCATCTCGGTCTTCCGCCCAAATTCCAGATTGCGTGTTTTTCCTAAAATTCCTCCTGCAACTTTAATTTGGTATGATAGTCGTCGCTTCCTGTCCTGACATGGCCTCACCCACATTCCCACCCTTCACAAAATAGCTTTAATTTTTATCTCACTAAAGAGCATAGCAACCAAAGTGTCTGAGCAACCAGAACAATCTTCATAACGATGACACCAGCAGAGCCAGCGCTAGGCATAAGCCGACTAAGGCCATGTCTACAAGTTTTGCCAGCATAAGTGGTCGTGTGCACAGAGACATAGCTACTGCCACTCGTTGGGAGTGGTTTAATTATGTCGGCGGGAGAGCTCTCTCCCATTGGCATAGAGCGGCTACACGAGAGATCGTACAGTGGTGCAGCTGCATCGGTCCAGCTGTGCTGCTGTAAGGTCTCTAGTGTAGACATGGCCTAAGCAATTGCTTAGGGCCCCGAGCAGCTCAAGGGGCCCCCCCCCATTTGCTTTCTAGTATGTGTCATGTGGGGGAGGGGTTCAAAATATTCCTGCTTAGGGCCCCCAGTGTGAAAGCACCGCCACCAGAAATGGCATCTCGTTGGAAATATTTCATTTTTAACACCAGGCATAACTGTAGTGCCCAGCCTGGCCTCTGGTAAGCACTTACAGGTAGATAGATACAAGCTTCCCATATGGTAGTGCTGGCATGTTCAGGGTGCCTGCTGTTTGCATATGGGAGAAAAAATCATGAAAGAACTCAAATCCCCCCGGCAAGAAAATGCTGTAAATAGTGTGGCCAAGTTTCAGACTCTCACAGTACAGTGGGACGGGATCCAGGCTTATCTGGTGTCAGGAGAAGGAAGCATTTTATGCATCCTAGACACACTGCCTCAGCTGGATTTACTAGCTCTGGAAGGGGCAGATGTTGGGCTCTCAACAGAGTGGCAACATCCGAAGCAACAATCGGTCCTTAGTGGATCTTGCTGAGTTGCGCTGGTGGGCTCTCTCACCAGCCCAGAATGAAGTGATGCCGTACCAGATTCTGTTCCAGGCTCTTGCCTCAGGGCACAATTTATTGGTTAAACAGAATTTAGACATAATCTCAAAACAAAGTAGTTCCTCTGCCCAACATGGGCTGCTTTCCCCTCACCTCTCGCAGCCCTTCGCGGTCCTTGCCCTGACCCAGGGACTCCTGTTCCTTGCATTCTCACTCAGCTTGCCTGCCTGGGCGTCACATAATAGCTAGCTTCTTTCCCCAGCCACCAGTCCTAGTACAGGAACTCAGCTTCCTGCTCCCTGCAATTTCTCCAGCCCAGCTGAGTTCTTGCTGGCCTTTTTAAGGACCAGGTGCTCCTCAGGCTATCACCTGAACCCCTTGCCCCACAGGCTCAGCAGAGAGGCTGCTTATTAGTCACAGGTGGAGCTAGGCCCATTTCCCATTAATGGGGCCAGTCACTGTGAAAACGAGGAGCACTTAGCTAAACCTGGGGTAGCATCACTGCCTAATTATAAACACTGCACCATTGGCCGACAGGGGGCTGGATACCTTCCAAATGCCAAATAATTCAAGAGAGAATCATTTTTCTGGACTCGAATGCCCCATGTTAGTTTTCTTTCAAGAAGAAAATTGGAGATGGAATGCATTCCACTTGGACAGAGGATTCGTCTGCAAGCGAGGCCAACGCTCTGCTAAATAGTCACCGTGCCAAGTGCTTATGGGTAATTAGGCATGAAGGGAATCGGCAGTCTGCTCCCTCCACTGTGTCTCACAGACTGCGTGTTTGCAATGTGCCTTCAGAGTTGTGGCATTCAAATAGAAAATGGGCCCTGGACATACAGCCCCCACAAGGGACTCAGTTAGTTTATCCGTAACGCTACTGGAACATCAGAGATCTTTGAGTGGCTGCGGCCTTTCAGCTCTAGGTCCTCATGCACTGATTCTCTCACTGTGATGCTTTCAAGAAAAATGAACTCATTTGCACTGGTAACTCCTTTTGTAGTGAATGAGGATCACTATCTGACACCTCTTGATGCCAAGGGCTTAATGGCACTATAGTAGGTGGCAACAGAAATTTCATATCGTTCTGTTGGATGGTTGCGATGCACAGCTAGGAAAAAAAAGTTGGAAAGATGGTCCAGGTATAGAATCCAGTGCATTTGTCTGCTTTTGTTGCCCTCATAAAGTCACTTGTGAAGGCAAGTTTCGTTGTGTGAAATGGAAATGTAGCAATGGGAAACCTCCTTTGTTTAGTTTTGGTTAGCAGAGTGTAGATACTTCAAGCCGTGTTACCATTTCTTGTTAATGTATGTTAATATTTCTTGGTTTTATACAGGCCACAAATACAGCAAGACTTGCCTTTGTTGTGGATTTTTCTCTTGGAACCGTGAACAAAACTAGGAAGTGAAGAGACGTGTGAACTCAACTTCTGAAATTTAGTTCCTGTTCCAGGCAAGGGATTCAGATGAGTTCCTAGTCGATCCAAACTAGTGCACACCCAACACAACAGTGGGTAAAAGAGATCCCTAACTTTAAGCTGCAAAGTTCAGGAAGTTTTTGGATCCGAAGTTTTTGGTTCACCCAGTATAGAGTTCAGACCTGGATCCAATCTCTTCCAGAGTCTGGAGTTAGTCACACTCAAAGTTCAGGTTCAGGCCCATCTCCAGTTTCAAATGCAGGTCCCTATTCATTTCTCGAGAACTCCACTGAAGTTCATGGCGTTAATCAGGGATGAATTTGGACCATAGAGTTTGTAAAATCTTCCCAGCAAAGGTAGACACATGTGTTTAGCTCTCCTTGAGCTACCATGCTAAAAATAACAGTGTGGCTGGGGTGGCATGGCTCATGGTTTGGGCTAGTTTGCCTAAGTATGTACCCAGAGGGTTGAGCAAGGAACCACCGCCCGGGTGCTGTGGCCACACTGCTATGTTTAGTGCACTAGTTTGAACATACTTAGCACATCTGTCTTCTCATGCCTGTCCAGCTGCAGTGTAGACGTACCCTTGGTGGGAGTCTCATGCTATTTGGTGTTTTTACTAAAACCTCAGCTCCTGGAGTCATGAGAATACCAACTTTCATTTAAAAAAGAGTAAATTTCTGGGCTTTATGGTTGTGGAGAAAAGCTGGAAAATGTGACCCAAGTGTAACCTAAAGTCTCAAAATCCAGACAGCAAATAAAAAGAACCTCCCCCCCAAATATTGTTATTTGTTTTTTTAAAATCATAATTTTAAAGTCGATTTTTTGGGGAGGGGAAGAGGTCTGATTTATGATATTTTGAACACTTGGAGATGGCAATATTGTAATTATTAAAGTGCCAGGAATGTGCTCCATCCTGTACAGGTTATTGAAGTAGACAGAGCTTGCTGTCTAAGGCCCTGGTCTCATTTTCATTGAAGGTAATGGCAAACTCCCCTGGACTAAGAAAGGAGCAGGATTGGGCCCTAAATATTTAACTAAATCAGAAGGGAGTATTGTGTCTCTGGATAATCCATTACTATGCTAATTTAAGCAACGTTTGTAGGGGAACCTACAACTATAACTCTGTATGATGCATTACAGCAGGAAATGTTTTCCTTATTTTAAAGTGAGTTTGGGAGGAATAGATTTGAAAGAAAATTGCCTTATGTTATCAGCACATTTAACCATTACTGAAATGCTGATCCAGTTTTATTTTCTTAGGGGAGAGCATAGCTTTAGCTGAAGCACAAAAGCAAACTCTACCAAGTGTAGAAAAAAAACTCACCCTGATGTGTCCTATTTGACAAACTGACCTGCGGGTCACAACCTGAGTTTATTGATCTGTGGGGCCTTGTCTGGGTATCGGGCCTGTTTTCTGGACTTTGGTTGCAGCTGCATTCCTGACTTCTGAAAGAGTAGGGGGTGTGGACTTCCACTAGGAGTAACCACTGGGAAGGAAGTAATGTTCATTAAGTGTGTTTCATGCAGAGGCAATGCAGGACCAAGCATGCTCAGTGCAAAAGCTTGTCTCCTTTGCCTGTCAAGCCCTGTGTTTGAACTCATTCCAGAATACTGGATTTACTTTTCACAAGGAAAGAATACCTGACTGGATTGCATTTTTTCCTTCTTTCTTCTCTCTTGTAACCAGAAGATTGGAAACAGTATTCTTTTATGATCAGTTCAGTGTCAGTAATACAATGTGCTTGAATGCAAATATGACTATTCCAATGGAGAAAGAAGAGGAAACTTTGCTACCTGTGAAGTGAAGACTTCTTCTTAGGTCAGTAAAGAGGTTGAATAGAAACTGTTTTCCAAGTATTTGTGGCAGTAGTTTAATGTTGTTTCCTACCCCACCCCACCTCCTCAAATACTTTAATATAAATTATATCAAACTTCTTTAAAAAGTTCATCTTCTAAGCTAAACAGCAGCTTTATTGTTGTTCAGTATCTCTGATAAGATAAACCTGTTTTACATGAAATCGCTGCAACAAAAGTTTATTTTTTTGTTGGGCAAACTCCACTTTTGAAAACTTGATACTGTTGACCTTAGCAGGTTTTTTAAAAAAGTGTTTGCTAAGAGCTCTGTTCTTTGCTTCTATGCTGCATGATTAGAGTTTTTAAAAGGCTAATCTCCCTCCCCCCGCAGCTGAAAATAGGACACATTTTTGAAGAATACACTCCGTCTTATCAAGCAATTCTTGTGGCTAGTTCATATGGTCATTTCCAATCTGAATGTAGATGTTTTACCTATTAATGTAAGGCTCTAGTTCTTTCTGTGAAATTTATTATTTGTTTTGTTGCCAGGAGGTGGGAGGAGATTTTACTTTAAAAAAACAGGTTTAGAATAGTGGATGCTTGCATTTTGAAATAATTTAAGAACTTTACACTTTTTTGTTTAAGAGCTTACTTAAAAGTTTCATCGACTGAGATTTTAAAACACTTTTAACTTTTGTAGAGGGGAAAGAACAATCTTTTTCTTGATATGTTGTACTGTCTAAGGGAGAGTTTTCTAAATATAGGCCAAGTGTTCAAGGAAGAAAATGACTATTAAATGAGAGGTAGACACAAATAATACAGAGTTTTAAAAGGTGTCTTTAGTCTATGGCTATCCTGGACAGATTAGAAACTGTGTTTTCATTTAGTTGCTCGTGCTGATAAATGCTCATTTCAAATGTACTACAAAGAGGAGATTTTTCTTACCAAAACTTAACATTAAATTTAACTGGGGAAAGTATGCACTGCACTGACTCTACAAATTATATGTTGGAAGTGTCTTTTAACTCTTGATATAATCCAGGAAATAAATAAGGACTATGCATATGCAGAAGTAAATTACTTTGTCGTAAACTATTTTTTCTGTTATCCAGTAGTACTAAGAGTGGAATTGTTTCTTTGTGGAATAAAGCATAGCTCAGCAGAAGGAAGGTTATTGATAGATTAGGAATGGCATGTTCTGTTTTGGGGCTAGCAATGCACAGGTTTTACTACTGAGTTGATCGTAAGTGAAAACTCTGCAACTTCATGTACAATAAGTCAGCAGTTTTATTTTCCAATAGCAGGGGTGGGGTGTAGAGTGGGAATGATGGGGTTATCTGACCTGTTTCTTTTGGATCTTTCAATTGATTTGCATTGGGGTCACCTGCTACCTGCAGAACAGGAAAGAGGCAAGGATATCTGGGGCCAAACAAAAGGAATGTGAAAATGACCAGACCTGAAGCACTCTGATCCTTTCTCTTTTCTCTGTTCTTCACTTTGGCGTCAAGGAAGTGTTTGCCTGGAAGCAGGACAGGAAAACCCACCGAGGTCTGCCCCCTCCTGTGGTTTAGCAAGCTACAGAGGATCATGGAGTCAGTGTGTTCTACTGGACTTATGAGACCTGGGTTCTATTGCTGTGTGGCTGAGGCAGGTCATTTCTGCCCCTTTGTGCCTCAGTTTCCCTCTCTGGAAAATGGGGTTAGTGACATTTAGACAGTTTTTTGTAAAGTACTTTGAGGCCTTTTGGTGAAAGGTGTTTTATACTTGCAGAATAGAGAGAGGCTTATGATGCAAACATTCATAACCAGATTTGGATTTCAAATACCACTAACTTTGAGGGTCTTAAGCTCCACAGATTTGGCTCAGGTCATTTTAGTGATAGGGACCATTCACAAAATTTTGATGTAGGCACAAACAGCCCCTCCGTCCTATCACCGCTCCCCCCTACAACTTGAGGGAGTTCAGATCCAAACATTCATGTTGGACCCATCTCTAGTGCAAGACAGAAACTATCTTTGGATGATTGCAACCCATCTCTCAGTCTAAGATTTAGCAACTGGTAGGGCTATAGACGTTATCAATGGAAAAGAACTATTAGAATATTGAGTCCATTCCCCCCAACAAGGGAAACCCCAACACTAGATGAGCCCCAATCTGTTTAAAGGGATACTGCCCATTTCCCATTCACCACAGTCCCCCAACGGAGGACCAATCAGCTCTTAACCTGGTCCTCCATTTGGCCTCACATCACCTTTATTTTTATCCCCAAACTTTTCTCTCTCCTGTTTTTCACACTAGAAATGTGCTGGTGCTTTTATTCCGCACATGAACTTAAAGCGTCTGTTTAATTTCTTTAGTACCCAAACCTTTCCAAGCTCTCACCCATATCCGATGCCATTCATAGCCAACAATATATTCAATGTATGTCACTCTACTTGCCGTTCCTCTGCTCTCACACTCATGCAGTGAGTCTTGGATTGCTGAACAATTTAAATGGGGTAAGTGCTATAATGCAGTTCTCTGCTCTAATTGCCATCTGTGATCCTGCTCATTCGCCCTCCTTAAAATTTGGGACAAGTCTTTTGAAACGGCCACCCAGAACAATCAGACGTGATTGTTTGATGGAGGAAGTAGGAGTAGCAGACACACGGGACGTTCCATGCTACCCCAAAGCAGCAAGTTACATTTGCTTCGAGAATGGTCAGCATCCTGGGGTGGAGTGGGACAGGACAGAAACACAATGGCCCAAAGTTTCAGGAGTGAGTAGCAATTGTGGGTGCCCCTCCTCAGACACTATAAAGGGATCTGATTTCAAGAAGGCCACTGCTCAGCGCTTTCTGACAATCCAGAGCCCTTTGAAGGGTCCCAAAAAGTGAGGCATCCAAAATTTCAAGTCACTTTTGAAAACCAGGCCCAACACACCTACATCTCTGGCGAGGTCCCCATGTACCACTGGTGTTTACGGAGCAGACCGTGGAAAATGTCGTACTTTCAGACAATTGGAAACATACGGGAATATGGTGGAGGCTCTCAGTATCTCCAAGCATCCTGGGGGTAGACGGCATAGCTTTGCTTATTCCGTTTCGAGGCCGATACGGTGTAATCTCGAGCAGCTGTTGCGAACCAGCTCAGCAAACCTTTCTTTGTCAGCTGTGCCTACTCTCTTAAAAGGGCTGGGGCAGAAATGCAGTGCAACATCTCTTATGACATCTAAAGTAGCATTGCCTTGCACAGTCCTTTCTGCAGTATTCAGGCAGGAATGTGAGATCTTGCTCTGTACTTCTGCCCTCGTTCAGAGGGCTCTTCTTAAGGCTCCTGAGCCAAGCCGCGGGAAGCATTTTTGTGTTCATTTGTATTTCCAGCCTCAGTTCTGATTTTGATTGAGACTGATTATCCTCATCCTCTTTATTAAACCCATGAGTGTGCCCCTTTCTTCCATCACCTGCCCCCCGCGCCCCATAGGAATGCAATGGTCGCAATGACGGGGAGGTGGGGAAAATGTGGGAATCCGAAGCAGCAGCATCAGGAGCATCCTTAGACGGTTACATTGACCTGTTCTGCCGCCCATTTACCACAGAGCCTAGCGTTTCCTGTGAAGGCTGCATCGCAAGTTGGAACATGTACGAGCAAAGCTTTTCTCCGAATACTGCTATGCTTATGTTATTGGCTTCCCCCACTGTAGCACATTTGTATAATTTGATTGGTAGACCAGCTTCACCGAAAGAGGAAAGAATTTATATCCCATGTCCCTCAGTTACTGAAATGAATTCCCCGAGCCAGCGGCATCAGCACCGCAGGACTAGCCAGAGCTCTAAGTGCGCTGCTGCAGATCAGAATAAAGTTGAGCAATCTCAGTTCATCGTGGACTAGCAGGAGCAAGGGGCATTATGGAGCCTTGTCAGAGGGAGCCTGTCCACGTTAGGAGACAGAAGGGGACAATATGGGACTAATCTCCCAGGGACATCTTTGTCTAAGCTGAAGACACTGATTTTCTTCTTGATGTTAGAGAGAGGCTGAAAGTATAGTCACATCATTGCTGTTGGGACATAGGATAGGGCGGTGACCATAACCAAAATACAAACGTTCAGTGCTTTATTTGTGTTGCTGTAAGAAAAAAATCTGTTTGTTTTTACAGGTTGCAGTGGCGATAAAGGCAATTACATTTACAGTGTTGTCCGCAGATATCATAAAAGTAAGTACCCAGTTCAGAGTTACATTGTATTTCAATATGGGGAGAAGTTTAGATTCTACTTACCAAAGAACAATACACTTAAGCAGGAGATGTGCTCAACTCCCATGGACTTTCAATGGGAGTTAGGTGTGTGACCAATTTTAGGAGCTTTTGAAAATCCCACTAGGTTCCTATCTGCATCTTTAGGTGCCTAAAGACCTTTGTAAAACTGGCCCTCAGTCTCATTGACTTTCCATAGATCTTAAACTCTTAAGTGCTTAAGTCATTTTTGAAGATGGGATTTAAGCTTCCCTAAGCCACATAGGTGATTTTCATGATTTTGCCTATCTGCTTTAAAATAACAAATTGAATGTAACACCGGTTTTGGCTGCTGTTAATGGCTTCTATATTCAAAAAGGAGTTTGACAGAATAGTCAATAGCACAGCAGTATAAACTAGGTACTGAAAACTAGAGCTCCAAAATTCAGGTTCCGATCTGTATTGCCAGAACCTGCAAAGTTCAGGAGTGTTTGGGATCCAGGATTATAGTTTGGCCTGTTATAGCGGAGAAAAATAGTTGTGACATTTATTTCTGCCTCCACTTTGGAAATCTGAACCCCCACAAAGTTCAGGGCTCTGGGGCTTTGGTTTAGCCATTGTAGAGGTAGGAACCCACTGCAAAATTTGGGACTAAATTCAATGCTGATGTTGTCCCTCTGCATCTAAAAGTTTGCAGGTATCTGAATCTGGGACTTTGATCTGGGCCATATCCCTAGCAGAAAATGAGTGGTGAAATATCCTGCATTGACACGTAAAGACTCTGAAAGAACAGGTGTCTTTGCTGAACTCCTTCCCTCGTGCTCTCAGGGTTCAGGTGGTTGAATAAATGAGTATTGTGTTCACCAGGCAGCAGGGTTTAGGGTTGTTCTCAAGTCCTTTGTTTGTGTGTATGTGAAGCCATCAATGCATCATTCCTTCTGCTTCAGCTGTTTGCGACTCCCATCTTCTCTATTGATTTTGCGCAGAACATAGTGCCCTGGAAGGTGTGACCTGTACCTCTGGCTAATTTATTTCTGTCATGCTTGTAGGATTTGGGGTGTGGGGCAGTGGGGAAGGGGACAATTAATTCAAGATGTGGAATATAAATCCAAGCTCTGAAACCCTCACAGACTTTCCAGTATCTCAAAGTGCCCCCTACCATCCCCAAATTCCTTAGTTTGTATTCTGTAGGGTTTGGGTTGAAAAGGGAAATCAAATTCATAGAACTAATAAGGCAGATCACTCTGGGATGAACTCTTCTTGGTGACGTTTGTGTGGGCTAATATTTATTCAAAGTTTGCTAGATTTCAAAACCATTTTTTAAACTGTCTAGTTTATGGGCTTGAACCAAAAGCCCGGATCTGAACTCCCTAAAGCTTGCTTTAATCTGAGCATCGCTACTTGAACTCATCGGTATTTATTTCATGGAGTGTGGAGGAGTTGGATTTTATTTGGTGCTGAAAATTCACTTTGGCCTAGAGTGGTGGTGGTTGAAAGATATGCAGTTGTTTTTATTTTAATATTGTAATTAGGATTATTCATGCCATGGGCACAAATGTTAATCTTCTCTGTCCTGGCTTTCTTTTGTTTATAATCAATGAAATGACATTTGCGTTAGATATGTGAGTAAAAGCCAATGCTCCAAGTTTATAAATATTTATGGGCAGATTCTGTCCCCCTTGCTTACGTTGACTAGTGACTTTCTCTCTGAGTAGTCCCTTTGAAATAATGGCCCTTGCTCTCAGATGTAGTGCTGAATACCGCGACTTAGTCCCAGTGAGTTCCCTCAACTTTGCAAAAGAGCAGTGAACTTTTTGGCTCTGATTGAAATCATGTGACATTCATGGCAGTGTGTCATGATTTCAGCAGGCAACTGGGTGGAACTCAGCAATTTAGAGTAAGTTTTGCTTGGAGATTCTGAGTTGACTCGAACCCAGAATGCCAATAGAGGCCCCGTGAGTTTAAGAGTTAAAGTCAAAGAGAAAAGGAGTACTTGTGGCACCTTCGAGACTAACCAATTTATTTGAGCATAAGCTTTCGTGAGCTACAGCTCGCTTCATCGGATGCATACTGTGGAAAGTGTAGAAGATCTTTTATACACACAAAGCATGAAAAAATACCTCCCCCCCACCCCTCTCTCCTGCTGGTGTGTGTAAAAGATCTTCTACACTTTCCACAGTATGCATCTGATGAAGTGAGCTGTAGCTCACGAAAGCTTATGCTCAAATAAATTGGTTAGTCTCTAAGGTGCCACAAGTACTCCTTTTCTTTTTGCGAATATAGACTAACACGGCTGTTACTCTGAAAGTCAAAGAGTGAGCTCCATGTGAAGCAAAAGTGCTGCCTATCCGACAGCTTTAGGGACCAGTCCTGAGAACATTTGCTACCAGGCTTGGACCTTACTGCTGTGAGTTATTCCTGTGATGCCACCAATGGAGTTAAGTTTTCGATTAGATACAAAGTGATCCAGAGTTCAGGGTTGTTTGGATCCAGGGGTTTGTTTGGGCACCACAATGCAAAGTTCTAAGCTGGCCCATGATTGCTGAAAGCTCAGTGAAGCTTTCAGCAAACCTGGCGTGGGGATTAGGTTTGTAATACAAGACAAAACCAGGTGACCGTCACTTGGCTTGGGGTTCCAATGAACCCATTTCACACGGTCACATATATTTTGTTGCAAACATCTCTCACGATAAACTATCCTGTGCATTTCCAAAGAGCCTTTTGCTGTAAGACCTACACCTGAGTGGGAAGCATGAATTTTGGGGAGAATTTTGAAGGCAAAGATGGACATTTGATGCAAGGTAAGATGGCTGTTCCTGGCGTATGGGGACAAAAACAGACTCTTAGAGTAGCACAGGTCTGTCTCACTGTAGTTCTCTGCCTGCCTTGTGGCAAACATGACGTACAGATACAAACTCTGTCAACACACGTAAGTTATGAGTCATATCACTAAGTGGCTAGGACCAGGCATCCAAGTGGATAGGCTCCCAGTATCTCAGTATTTGTGTTCTGGGTTCCCCCTCCCCCCCCCCCCGGTCACTGTTTAGGACCTAGTTAAAGTTGGTCTTCTCACGGTATTGCCATCAGCCAGGAACGGAGGGAGGGAGGGAGAGAGTGTGACCCTGAAAAGAAAAGGTCTTTTGGTTCATCAGTGACTCCTTGGGTCACTACAAAGCCCATGAGAAAGATAAACACACATACTTTAAATGAAAAATACTAAAACCCATGCGTGTCACTTTGTACAGCGTCTTGGGGCCAGATTCTTCTCTCCCTTGCATCGGTTCTGGATTGGTTTAATTCTCTCTTGACTGGAGTTACTCCTTGTTTACACCAGTATAACTGAGAGCAAATTCAAATTCACATTTTTCACTTAAAACCGTTGGAGAAGAGCTGCCCAAGGTTTTTCTCTCCATCAAAATATCAGTGCAGACTTTTACTGAAATTTTAAAAAATATAAAACATTGTGGGGGCAGGAGGAATAGGAGGAACTTCAGGGAAATTTTATTTTAAAAACAATTCCCAATTTTATTCCCCCTCTCAAAATCTGAAATTTCATTGAGAAGACATCAGAATTCAGAAAATTTTGGCCAGTTTTAATTGTTATTATTTTTCAGCACTCCAGAGTGTGTTAAGCCGTTTGCCGAAACAAACGAATGGCTTCACTAAGGGCTGAATCCAATGTTCACTGAAGTCAAGGGAAAGAGTCCCAGTGACTTCAGTGGGAGCTAGAACAGGCCATAAATTAGGACTGTTCTCTTTAAACGGTTATATTTGAAAGACTTGGTCTTGACAGTCCATATAGGGCAGTAAAGGCCCCTATACATGAGAGATAACTATTAATGTATTTAGTTGGGTTGCAGTTACACCCAGTACAGACACCAACTGGGGATCGGGATTCCATTGTGCTAAACACAGAACAAAAAGGCGGTGACTCCCCAAGGAGCATACACAACTTCCATTTGTTGTTGCCTCAATCTAAGCCATATGATAATACTGTCTAGCTCTTTTACAGCACTTTTCATTAGTAGTTCTCAAAGCACTTTATAGCAGGAAATAAGTAGATGGGGAAACTGAGATACAGAGCAGGGACATGACTTGCCCAGAGTCACTCAGCAGGCTAGTGGCAGGGCTGGGAACTGTCTCCTGAATACATTGTGGTTCTTGCTTCTCTAGGGTATACATGTGCGATGCATCCAATTATTACTGTGATGGGTGTCATACTAAAGTGTATAATTATTAAATATTCTCATTTGCAGCATTTACTCAGCTCTTTTTTGTTTTCGGTGTGTGTGCTTTATATGCAACTTGGTAATTCTTACGTACCATTCTCTTTGCAAACCCAGGCTTAGGCCAAACGTTGTGAAATGCATCTGGTTTTACTGTACAGCGTGTACTGTAATAGAATATGATCATTCCCCATTGCGAACAAGTTGTGCTGCTTTTGGGGATGAGCTTCTTAGCAGCCTCAATAAGGCTTTTCACTGCTATAACAACAGCTGTGATTCTTGATTTTAGTCGCCATTCATGTCAACAATGGTAGTGTACACAGTGCAGCAATCTCGCATTTGGTTATGCTCTCTCCCTTTCCTCACCACAGGCATAACACAATGCTTGCAATGAACATAGATGCCTTGGATTACAGCAGCCTGAATCACAGATTATATAAAAGAGGTTGGGAGCGGGGGGCTGGAGCCTGATGATGATTATGTTTACACGCCCTAGCGTAGATTGAGGTCTCAGTGTGCTGGGTGCTGTACATAGATACATAAGAGAAAGTCCCTGCCCTGAAAAACTCAAACCCTAAATAGACAAGAAAGTCAAAGGATGGAAGAGAGGAAATATTATTATTCCCATTTTGCAGAGGGGGAACAGCGGCACAGAGATTAAGTGAGTTGCCCATGTCATATAGGAAGTCTGTGTCAGAGTCAAGAATCTCCTGAGTTCTAGTCCAGTGCATTGTCCACAAGATCAGCCTTTCTCTCAACCTACCCTGATCCAGCCTAAATTCAGGCTCTGCTGCGTGGGAGCTTGCTAAACCATTTTATTGAACTCTCATGAATTCTGTATATATGATTGTCCATCTTCTTTCTGAGCGAATAGTGACTAGACCACAGTGAACCCTGCCAAGGTATTGTGGGTCACTGTGCTGCAGGAGTTCTCCTCTTTTGAATGGGACATAAAACCAAGGTCCTGTTAAAAATCTTAGCTGTTAACTACAGTGTCTGAGTCAAATTCCAGTTTGGCTATTTACTGTCTGCCTGCCTAAATTCCACCTGTGTTTTCAGCTGAAAATAGCATTTTCCACTTCCTATCCTAAATTGATATTCATGTATCAAGTTGTAGTCTTGATGTAGCCTCATTTCAGTAATGGGGGAAGTGATTCCTAAAAAGTATGCCTTCACTAATCAAGCACTAGGAGTCTTAGAAATGCCACATATAGGTAATACGTGTAAAGCGTGTTGAGACCTTCTGGGATGAAAGGCACTATAATAATGCAAATGATTATCATTTAATATTTTATAAACCTGAAACTTCAGCTGATTTTCTAGTGTAGATTATTTCCCTATATTAAATGTCGCTAAGAATCTAAGTCTATGAGATAGATGCTTTGCAAAATTATTTATTTTACATGAGAAAGTGTGTCATATGTTTCACAGATGTACAAATCCCATATGTCTGTTTTGTAAGGCTGGTTATGAAATGCATTAATTTATGACTCGGAGGACTCGGAGACAGAGGGGAATTGGGCTGCCCACAGAATAGGGTGGATCTCACTATTTATTTGTGTTTGGTTTCAGCCAATATGTTAAAGATAATTTGCTAGATCCTCTACTAGGGTAAATAAGTGGAGCTCCATTGATGTCAGCGACTTATACCAGTTCAGGATCGCCCAATAATCTAGCCAATCAAACGTTAGACATTAGGATTGTTTTGAAATAATATATTTTTTAATCAAAGATTGTACATGGTTTAAAGCTTCTTTTGAATGTCAGAATTGTAGATGTTTTGACAATACAGCCCCTTCGACATATTGTATTATTTCAGTTTGGATAAATTATATTAAATCACTGCAGCTTGTTCTACAGATATGCATGTAAGTGACTTTACTCACATGAGTAATCCAATGGGGCTACTTCTTATTATATCATAGAAATGCCTGTATCTGGACCCCATCAAGATTCCTGTTGTGGTAGGTGCTGTACATACGCAGTGTAAAACCTTCACTGCCCTGAAGAGCTCACCATCGGAATGGACAAGACAGACAAAGGGAATGTTATCCCCAGGTTTAGAGATGGGAAACTGAGGCACAGAAGCATTAAATGACTTGTCCAAGGTCCCACATTGCCAACTTTGCTGATTGTATCATGGGTCTTGCAATATTTGGGGTTTTTCTTGAAGTCCCAACTCTTGGAGTTCCGCATGTGATAACTTTAGCATTCGTTCACAAACAAATTCTAACCTTTGTGGTTATGCAGAAAATCTTTGAAAATGTGAACCCAGAAGGCTCAAACTCCCACCCCACCCCCTCAAAAGTAAGAACTCAGATTTATTATGTTTAAAATATCATTATTTTTAAGCTAATCTCTTGATTTCTAGGGGCCTGACTCATGGGTTGGCAAGGCTGAAAGGTCATATGGTAAGATTATGGCAGAGCTGGGAATTAAACACTGATCTTCAGAGTAGCCAGCAGAGTGCCTCAACCCCATGACCGTCCTTCCTCACTGCTTACGTGAATAAAGTTGCTCTCATATGTAAGTTGTCTGTAGGGACAGGTCCAGGGTTCAGAATTGGGTTACCTCACAGGGAGAATTTGCGGGGCTACTGCCAAAGAGTCCACAAAGTCCACTAGGGACTTTCTTAGATTCATAGATAGTAAAGTCAGAAGGGACCATTATGATCATCTAGTCTGACCTTCTGCACAACGCAGGCCACAGAATCTCACCCACCCACTCCTGCGAGAAACCTCACCTATGTCTGAGCTATTGAAGTCCTCAAATCGTGGTTTAAAGACTTCAAGGAGCAGAGAATCCTCCAGCAAGTGACCCGTGCCCCATGCTACAGATTATTGATTTTTAACATGGATGGTGCCCACCTACTACAGGGATGAGCAACAAAATAAAATCTTAAAATAGAGGTTGGAGCTCGGGACTAGGAAACACTCAGGGCACCTGGGTTTTATGTCCAGCAGTGCCACTGACTTGCTGTGCTTCCTTGAGGGGCAAGTCATTTAACAGCTGTGTGTGTGTGTCTCATTTTCCTCCTTCATCAAATGAGAACGACACTTGGTTGGCCTGTCAGCACTATCTTTATACTGATGCTTTTACATGCTTGGTTGAAGCGGGAGAACTAACGTGTACAAGGCAAAAGGAAAAAAGTAGGTGAGCCTGTCTGGGCTTGTCAGACTTATACCGTGTCAGCGAACTCAGTGAGACAAGAAAGCGGAGAGCAACAGATCAAAAGAATGCGTTAAAATGAAAGGTAAACCGACTCAGTTAAATTTACAAAGCAGCAAGTGGGGAGTCGCACAAAGAGACCCTGCTCACAAGCAGCCTGCTCCGACAGCCCTGTTGTTCCAGCACGTGTGGGAATGTTCCCCATAATTACGCATACCGTGCTGAGCTGATCAGTGACTCCTCTCCAGCCCAGGGGAATTCCTGCAGGTAGCACTTTGTCCTGTGGTTCCAATCAGATCTCGCAAGCTAAGCAAGGTGGCATTGGCTCAACAGGTGGATAAGGGGTCCTCCAGGTGATGAATGGCTTTTTATTGGTAATTCAGAAAGCAGCACTGTTCTCTGTGAGT